AGAAGGGTAAAGCCAAAGGGGCAGTTTTTGCAATTATTTAGTCCTTTGTGTTAGCAGAGCGCCTAGGAGCCCAGTGTCGGTCCCCTCCCCAGGGAGTTTACAGTCTGAATTGTGGGCACCCTTCACCGAGGGATCAGGCTGAGGCCTGGCAGCTGATTTCACACGAGCCATTTAAAAACCTATTTCAAACACCTGGTAAATGACCGAGCAGAATGTGCTGGAGAGACTCAAAGTACAGAGCCACTTGCGTGCTGTTGAGCATTAAGGCCCTGATCCAGCTGCTGTTGCCTTTAGGGGACATATCATCCGCCTCAAAGGAGTAAGTTGTACATCCAGTGAGGGCATTATTCTGTGCCACTGCTGCTCAGGTGCGGCCAGAGAAGGCTTTGCACCAGTTCTGAGTGGTGGGAAGATCAGCCCTATGAAGGGATGAGGGAACGACTTGCCAATTGCCGTGGAAAGCAGCGTTTGCCGTAATCCCGTAGTCAGCCCGTTGGGGGACTTAGCTGGGAAAATGACAAAGTAGAAACTTGAACCTGGGCTTGTGCAGTGGACACACAGCCCATTTTCCTGGCACAACTGAACTCTGACCTTGCTTTAAGTTCAATGTCCTCATCATCCCTAACTCTGAACAAGTTTCATTGGCTCTCATTCTACATCTTCATCCTGTGTATACGGCAAAGGACCAATGAGACAATATCGGTCAGTGACCAGGAACCTCTGCACTAGTCCATAACACTGCTCCACAACATCACTGTTATTAGGGAATAATAATAAATACTTGTATAGGTTCCACACGTGTATGTATGAAAAGGCCTTCCTGGCCCCAAAGGGCTTATGATTTAAGTATATGCCAAGAGATGGCTACAATCAACACTGTAGGTGAGCATGAGCTAGCAATAGGGCAGTTATGATTAGCTTAGTCCGCAGCAGTGGAATCGCTGTTCTCCTTCCAGGGTCTCAGTGTATGTGAATCAAATCATATTATCTTGGAGACATCTAACATTAATCAGATGAGCTTCAATGGACAGTTTACACCAGTGTCAGATCTGTCCCCGCATCTCTGCTACTTTCCAGTGAATTCAGAAGGGCACCACCTTTAACTTGTGTTGAGTGTGATTTACTGACCTCCTGAGACCGTTTTGCTGGAGAAAAGGGGAATTTTGCTACTGCCTGGCATGAGCTTGGGCTTGGAAGCCAAAAGCAGAATACCCAGATGTCTCTGAAGGACATGCAGTGACATCTGATGGCCAAGTGTGTTAACTACAGTTCTGAGGCGCCATACAGTGTGAGGGGTGCAGCTCTGCGAATGTGGGGGTTATCCAGCACAGTCACCTTTTCAGAGTTTTGTAAAGACCTGTTGTCTTTTGTCAAATTCCCATTGGCTTCAATGAGGCTGGGATTTCAACGTCCGTTCCGGGGGGTACTGTTTCTCCAAATGTCCTAGGCCATTTATGTGCACAAAGAACTCAAGATCCAACTTTAAAAGTTGTCTCCTACGTACCTAATCCTCGATCCTCCCGGAGCATCAGCTGCTTGGCAGCTCAAAACATTTGACAGCAGGTAATGAGCCAAATGTAGTTCTCGGTGGTATGGATGCAGCCTCTTGCGCAGTGTACTCCCGTGTGCTACAACCTGCTCTTCCTGCAGCTAACGGACGGGGGAATTTAAAGGGCAGGTCATGGAGAGACAATTGTGTTTTATGTCCCAACGTGACAGTGTGGAGCACGGGGCTGCACAAAAGGAGGCTGCTGTGCAGCATGTCAGGCGAAGTCCAGGCGGCTGCAAAGTTAATGTGGCACATTTAAAATAAGAAAAAAGGAGAAAATGCAAAAGTTGCAGGTTTCATGCTGAGGTTATTCCCCTTCGCATTTGACCCTGGATTGGCAAGGGAAAATGGGAGCAGAGCTTGGCTCGGTAGCTAGTAGACTGGTGGTCCCCAAACTTTGGAGGGTTTTCCCACCTCCCCTTACTCCTGTCCTGCCCCTCTGGGGCTGGGGGTGGGACTGTGGCTTGAGGGAATGGGATGCAGACAGGTAGAGGAGGACAAGACCCAGGCTGCAGGTGGGGGTGGTTCTGGGGATGGAGCCCCAGCCGGGCTGTGGTGGGGCCAGTAGCTGAGCTTGCAGCTATGTGCAGATGTAGCCTTGCTCCTGGCCCCACTTCTAGCCCCATCCGGGGTTACCAAGGCTGGGGAGAGGGCCAGGCATGGGGCTAGGAGCTGAGGCTGCCACTGGGGGTAGTGCCAGAGCAGAACTGAGGGTGGAGTGGGGCTGGTTAATGCTCTCTCTGCCTCCCATTGGGGCTAGCATGGGCCCACAGCCCCTTAGGGGGCCTGCCCCCAGTTTGGGAACCTCTGCTGTAGGCAGGATACAATTTTCCACAGGATGTAAGTGGCTTCCTGAGTCCAGCTGGCTGCACATGAGGTCAGTGTCATGGGATCCTGGGGCTGCTTTCCCCACACAGGTTGCTCCCTCTGGGCCCTGGGGAGAGGACAGGCAGCCCCTGACCGTGCTAAGCAGCCTGGCTGCACGTCTGGCGGGTACTGCAGTGAGGAGCATGGCTTAAGAGTCTGCATAGCGTGAAGGCTGCAACCCAGGCCTGATGCAGGGATCTCTGGAGCTCCAAGTATGAGCTGCTAGAGCTTGGCCTGATGAGCCGAGGCTCCCTAGCAGCTGTTGTTACAGACTCTTGTCCTCTGTAGGCTGGGCACCCAGGGGGCCTGTGTCACCCCCTCCCCAGCAGGTTACACAGGTGTTGAAATAGTCACTTTCAATCCCTTTGTGAATGTTTCTGAGAGTAACCCCCTTCCTTATCGTGTCCAGGGAAAGCTGAAGCAAGAGAAACAAATTCCTTTCTAAATGTAATGCATGTCTGACTGGGCACAGTGCTTTTCAGTTTTCTCCCATTGCCAATGCAGACTTCATTCCTTATTTTTGAGGAGTTTGCACTGAAGGGGGAGCAGGGCCGACTTTGCTTCCCCAGGCACTACCTGGAATGTGTCAGTGAATCTCAGAGGGGGGAGAACAGAGCCCATAATACAGAGTTGAGAGGAACGATACAATCTGAGGCCATGTCTATACTTACCGGACCAGAGATTGATCTGGTGTTTGATTTAGCAGGTCTAGTAAAGATCCACTCAATTAAATGCTGAGGGTGCTCTTGGTCAGCCTATCAGAGGGGGAGCCGTGTTAGTCTGAATCTGCAAAAGCGGCGAGGAGTCCTGTGGCACCTTAGAGACTAACTGAAGTGTAGGAGCATCAGCTTTCATGGGCAAAGACCCACTTCGTCAGAGCATGTTCCCCTTCAGGTTTTTGTATACAAAAGATTGAACAATTCAATCTCCCTGGACACACAATTGCAGATCTAAAGGTAGCCATCCTGCAGCAAAAAAACTTCAGGACCAGACTTCAAAGAGAAACTGCTGAGCTCCAGTTCATCTTCAAGTTTGACACAATCAACTCTGGATTAAACAAAGACTCTGAATGGCTCACTAACTACAAAAGCAGCTTCTCCTCTCTTGGAATTCACACCTCCAGATCAGCTACTAGAAGTGGGCCTCATCCTCCCTCATTGGATCCACCTCGTCATCTCCAGCCTGATCCTGGCCTGCATATTTATACCTGCCTCTGGAAATTTCCACTACATGCATCTGACGAAGTGGGTCTTTGCCTACGAAACCTTATGCTCCAACACTTCAGTTAGTCTATAAGGTGCCACAGGACTCCTCGCCGCTTTTGGTCAGCCTGTACTCTTTGAAGTCACGAGGAGTAAGGGAAGCCGATAGAAGTGGTTGCTCCCAGCAGGCTCCCACAGTGCAGAAGGCACCAAGCTTGGTTTAAGATATGTCAAGTCCGGCTATGTTATTTACGTAACTGGAATTGCACACTTTAGGCTGACCTTTCCGGCCTTAGATAGCTCTGGCCTCAGTTACCTTTCCAGATCACAGCTTCCTCCTGCACATGGATGTCCACTCACAGCCTTACATAATTTTCCACAAACAATGCCGGCAGCATGATATTTACAGTTCTTTTTCATTATTAAAGTCAATAAAATGCAGCTACTTCCCCAAGAATTTCCTCTGCTCCCCCGGTCTTCAGCACAGAGTGCAAACTTTCCAAGGCACACAGTTGCAGCTAGTGGCTGGACCACAGAACTACAGAACTGACCTTTTCGACTCAACAGTTATAAATCTGGACAAATAATCGAAACTATCAGTCTATTGATTTTGCGGTTGGTGAAACAACAGTCTGTAATACTTGTCAAGCCTTTTGATGTCTTCTGATGAAAAGGACCTAGTATTTTTTCGTGTGCTATATGTTATTAATATTCAAATCCACCCAAATAACTGGTTGAACCATTGTGAATAAACCAGTAGAAAAAAAACCCCTAGTAATAATGTAATAATGCAGCACAAAACATACTTCATGTGCCTGGTTAAACAGACTTTATTAGCTCATTGTGCCATAAGCAGGTTTCTTTTAACCAGGGAGGATCGTGCTTCATAATATACCACAGCACAACTGCAGAGGTAAAGGGGTTTTAGACTGTGACCGAAGACTTCACTACAGAGCCCTGGGTGCCATCCTGGCTCTACTGAAATCAGTGGCAAAACCTCCTTTGACTTCACTGGGGCCTGGATTTTACTCCTGAGGTGTGTCTAGACTGGCAAGTTTTTCCGCAAAAGCACCTGCTTTTGCGGAAAAACTTGCCAGCTGTCTACACTGGCCACTTGAATTTCCGCAAGACACTGACTTCCTACTGTCTGAAATCAGTGCTTCTTGCGAAAATACTATGCTGCTCCTGTTCAGGCAAAAGTCCTTTTGCACAAAGATTTTGCACAAAAGGGCCAGTGTAGACAGCTCAGATTTGTTTTGTGCAAAAAAGCCCCGATCGCGAAAATGGCGATTGGGGCTTTTTTGCGGAAAAGCGTGTCTAGATTGGCACGGATACTTTTGCACAAAAGTGTTTTTGCGGAAAAGCGTCCGTGCCAATCTAGACGCTCTTTTCTGCAAATGCTTTTAACAGAAAACTTTTCCGTTAAAAGCATTTGCGGAAAATCCTGCCAGTCTAGACGTAGCCCTGGTGTTCAGTCTTTGCTGGACTTGGGGAATTGGGGAGAGCTTCATGTCTCTGATATGAACAATCAAGTTTTGCGGATCAGTGAGGGGTAAACATCTTGCTTCCACCGGACTCATGTTCTTGAAAAATGGTTAAAAAAAAGTCTCTTCTGCAGTTAAGTGCAGGTGCACTGCCAGGCTGTGATCTCTGAGGCAACAACTGATTGGCTGCAAAGGGCCAAATCTAAAGCCATTCCTCAGCTCTTGCGCGTTATGCTGGAGCGCGACCTCCCACTGCCCTTTGCTTCCACTAAACCGGCCTGAACTTCATCTCGGAGACTTTGTAGGAGTAGTGAGCCCCTCGGCCCGTGGCCCAGATGACGCCATCGGCGTAGCTCTCGTGCGGCCCCAGCAGGTACAGCCCGTTCAGATTGGAACCGTGACACTTGTTGTACCACCAGCCCCCCTTGTAGAGCAGAGCACAGTTCCCCGAATAGAGGTCGTTGTCGTTGTCTTTGGTTGTAAATGTCATGTTGTTATGGCCAGCTAAGGAATCCCCTGTTAAAACACCGGAAATTAGAACATCGCCGTGTTTGTACAAAGGACTTCCCGGCTCCGAGAGGTGTCCTGCTCCCCCTGAATTTGACCCCTAATCAAGTAACAGGGATTCTCTGCTGCACAGCCTGGCAATACCGCTACAGTTCCTTTGGTGTCTCCACTAGCTCCTTCCCCTTCCTAAACCACGTTTAAAAATAGGGGGGAGCTGTGGGAAAAGACCTCCTACCCAGCAGGCCCTCACTTTGCTAAGTTCTCTCTTCCCTCTGGACGCTGGAGGACCAAGAATTCAGAATTCAACTCCAGTTAACAGTCCGATTCCACTTTGCACAAGTATGGTGAAAACATTATGCTGACGGCCTGCCCTGGTTTATCACATGGACTTTCTTCCTGCCTCCCCTGAATTAGTGAATTGCCAGAGATACTCTCTGCTTCTAGGGATTGCATCTTCCTTGCACAGAAGATGCAAAATGGACCCCAAACTTACCTGCAGTGCCTGTAATAAATTTTCCTAGAGTCAGTCTGTATTTGTCAGTCTCTCCTGAAATGCGGAAGGTCTCATAGCGGGCAAAGGATTTCTTGTTTTCCACATCACTCAGGTCCACCCGAAGTTCGCAAGTTTCTAGAGATGAAGTGGAAACAGAAGTGTCAATCGCATCCCATTAACGATCTGCCTGATCTTTGCAGGGAGGGGTTGAGATGTGCGTCCGTCCCTAGGAATATAAGTGGATGAATCGCTCTATGCATCCTGTCTCCAAGGAGAGGGTTTGGCAGAGAACACAAATCAGAGAAGAATCCCTCCATGATTTTCTTACCAAGAGATGTTAATAGGTGGATGTTGTCGTTCCCCAGCCAGAATTCTGACAGCTGGCTGCCGAAACCTCTCTTGTATGAACTCCAGTCACGGAAAAACTCCACGGATCCATCCACCCGTCTCTGGAACACCTGCAAGGAAGGAAATGGGGGGGGGGGGGAATGGAAAACTGCCCTCTGGTTTCTATCCACAGTAAAGCAGGTGCCGGACTTACCATTGCTTCCTACCTGCACACACAGCCACTGTCCGGCGCATTCACGTAATGCTTTCTGTTCGATCTCCCTGTGATAAATCTGTCCTGCTCTACCAACGTGGGTACTACTACCTTCCTCCAGAGAGGAGGTGGGGGCACAGAGATGGGATGTAACCAAGTGCAAAGAGTGATTCTGGTTCCTGTTGAAGCTTCCTGTTCCATTGAACTGGGAAAGGCCACTTCTATCCATTTCTTATAACCACATTAGGCTGAGGGAGCTCACTCTTCAAGCTAGGAAGTACTTCAACCCCGCCCCACCCGTTAGCTACTCTCTCTGCTCCGTGCCCCATCTGTCTCCCACTCAGGGGCTTGGAGAACGTAAAAACCCTTCAGTGGTGGGGACACAACCGAGCTTCAGCCTTATCATTCGGCATCACACGAGGGTCGGCCGGCAGGTGCTGAGGGGCTGCGGAGGCAATGTGGTTCCCATCAGCTCCGGAGCGACTGAGCAAGCCATCCGAGCTCAGACCCAAGGGGTCCAAGCTGCCCCCTGGGCTGCTCTAGCCATGTGGATCGTTTCTTAGTGCGCTGGCTCCGGTCCCGCAAGCGTGCGTCTGTGCTTTGCAGCAGGCGAGGGGCGTCGGTCCCAGCTACAGTGTAGACGTATTGTGGGAGTGCCTGCGCCGCATGGACTGACGTAAGACGTGACCCGCTCCAAGGGAAGCCACGTGTAGCCCTCCCCGCCACTAGAGGGAGACTGGGCCACATGGGCTAGGCAGGTTATTACACCTGAAGTCACCTGTGGAGTCTTACAGGCTGGGCAAGATTAAATAGCAAAGGTCAAAGACAAAAAACCCAACGAGATAAACCTAAGAAGGACGAAATCTTCCACGGTTTCCCCTTTGAACTGATGGCCTGGCCTGGCTATGAATTCTGTGATGACACGTTTGCATAACGGGATTGTGATGGGGTGTAACAACCCTGCACTGGGCCTGAAGGGGTTAACCTGGTTCCGCTGGCTGAGGAGGCCCCGCCCCCACAGCCGTCTGGGCATGCTCCAGCTGGAGGCTGGTTATAAAGGCCTCTGGAGCTGCTCAGTCAGGGCTGACTGCAGCTGGGGAAGGAGATGATGCAGGAGCTCCATGGGAGGAAGCGCCGCCGGACCAAACAGCGGCAGCCAGACTGACAGGGATGGTGGTAGAAGAGGATTTCCTATAGGACACAGGTAGGAAGTAGCCAGGGTGGGGAATTGTTCCCTGCGAGCTCAGCGTGTAGCGGTGGGATTCCCCGCCGAGCTAGCAGTGAACTGTTGCACTGCTGTGAGGACCCTGGGGTGGGACCCGGTGGAGAGGGAAGGCCTGGGTCCCCCTACAGCCCTCCTCAGATACCCCCATGTGGAGGAACTTTGTCAACTGTAAACTGGCCCTGTGGCTGCTTGGCCATACTACCCTGAACACGGGGATTGTATATAGACTCTCTGGCTGGTAGGCCTCCCTGTTCTGAGTGAGAGTCCGAGGGGCCGGGCACTGCCGGTATTGGATGAATTATTTCAGCTCTGTCTCAATATTTCCTCAGTTTACGGCAGATTTACCGCCGTCAGCAAGTGGCAAACATGGCATCTCTGCTTAAAATCAAAACGTGTCCTGTTCTCCATAGCACCGTCCTCCCTCACACTTACAGTCCAGCCTCCGCCCTCCGTGTCCATGTCACAGAAGACGGTGATGGAATGAACCCCAGCTCCGGGGTAGATGGTGTACCAGCCGCTCAGCGTTTCCCCGTTGGCCAACAGCTCCTTGCAATTTCTGGGTCCTAGAGAGAGTGAAACTGTAAATGTGCTGTGACTGAAGGTGCCGAGCCGGGCCTGAGCGTGCAGGATACTGGGGAGGGGTCAGTGGGAGCAGGTCTGAAATACCCAGGCCTTCCAATACAGCTGCTCCACTTTGATCGAAATGGCCAAGGCCTCTGACCCCTTCTCCATCCTGTGTGGATCAGGCCTGGGGGGGGGAGGGGGGAGAGCTCAGCAGAGTTGGTGCATTGTTAGGCAGCTGGATTGCCAGTTTGGTTTCTTTTCCCTAGGGAGAGGCAAAGTGCATAAGGGCAGGGGAGGCATCCGGACCTTCCTGCCCTACTCCACAGCTATGTCCATGCCCCTCTGCTCCCAGAGCTAAAGGGCTGCTCAAAGCCAATGCCAACAGCTCCCACAAAGAGCCTGTAGCAGAGAGGAGTGAGGGACCTGGCTCTGTACCTTGTACCTTGCCACCCGCCAGTGGGGACGAGCTGGCCGGAGGAGGCTCCAGGAGGCCTTTATGAGTCACTGGGTCTTTCTGAAATCAGAGCAACTATTACTCCTCTGCTTGGGGCACTGTCACACCAGGGACAGGTGGGAGCAGTGATGTTTGGTAATAGGGTGTTTGGTTTTGAACTGGTGGCTATTTGAGAGATTAACCAACCTCTTGGAAGAGATGCTCAGAGGCGGACTGTGGCGCAGAGGTGTCTGATAAACAGAATGTATCCCCTGGGTAACACAGCTGCTGTTCTCAGTTCAATCATTCTTTTGCTGTATGGTAGGGTGCAGAGGTGCTTACCTGTTGTTCCTGATTCTTGGGAGTCTCCTTTCTCTCCTAAAAGGGAGCACAGATTCAAACAAGGCATTAGTTGGAGATCACACTCTACCTTCAGAACTCTTGGGGTGTCAGCCCGTCTTGCTGCAGGAAAACATACAGCTCCAAAGCTGCGTGAATCTGGCATTGTAGATTGTACAATGCAGACCATGAGGGGCATTACATTTGTAAGTGTGAAGGACATAGACATGCATTCTCCATTTGCACACATGGATTCACTTGGGAAAACAGGATGTAAGAGAGCTTGCTGCAGAATTGCTCCTGGCTGACGGTCCCAAGATGCAGTGGGGAACAATTTCAATAGCACATAAGTAACTTACGAGCCTAAGTCCCATTAAAAAGCAGAGCTGTCCAGCGGATGCAATGCCGTTTCTCAGCAAATGTAGGTTTTGTGCTTTGCTTTTGTTCCATGCTGGCATACAGACAAAAGGGCTTTTGTGAAAACGAAATTGCATTGACATGACCACGTGTTCACTTCTGTTCTTAGCAAGCTCGTCACACTAAAGCTAATGTGGCTATAGCCACATGAACTACAAATCCTAGAAACAGAAGATTACCTTTCTCCCCGGCTGGTCCCCTCTTTCCAGGGATCCCTGGAGCTCCCTGTTCTCCTACGGAACAAGAGAGTAAACATCTGACAATGCACTAATTAAACATGCCTACAAGAAGTGAGCTGAATTCCCACATCTGACTTTTCTGAGCAGATAGTGGCACTTGGCCCCTTAGCTCCTGCTATAGCAGCTCACACGTCTTAACTCTGGAGATCCCTGATGTGCTGGCCAAGATGGTGGCCATCAAAGATACACAGCTGGCTTCCCTTCCAGCTGCTGCCATTGTTCTGGGCAGAGGAAAAAGAATCGCAGCAGATTAGGGTTGGAAGAGACCTCAGGAGTTCATCTGCTCAAAGCAGGAGCAACCCCAACAAAACTGTCCCAGCGAGGCTTTTGTCAAGGCGGGCCTTGAAAATCTCTAGGGATGGAGATTCCACCCCCTCCCTAGATAACCCATCCCAGTGCTTAACCACCTTGCTAGGGGAATAGTTTTTCCTAATATCCAACCAAGACCTCCCCCACTGCAATTTGAGCCCATTGCTCCTTGTTCTGCCATCTGCCACCACTGAGAACAGCCTCTTTGGACCCCCCTTCAGGTATCTGAAGGCTGCTCTCAAATCCCCCTTCACTCTTCTCTTCTGCAGACTAAACAAGACTCTCCTCATAAGTCATGAGCCACGGCCACCTAATCATTTTTGTTGCCTTCTGCTGGACTCTCCAGTCTATCCTCATCCTTTGTAGTGTATGTGTGTCCAAAACTGGACACAATACTCCAGATGCAGCCTCACCAGCACCAAAGAAAGGGGAATAATCATAATTTTCCTGGATCTCGGCTACAAGGGCACACTGCTGACTCCTGTCCAGCTTCTCATCCACTGTAACCCCCAGGCCCCTTTCTGCCGAGCTGCTGGATTGAACTGACAGTGTTTCAGAGCAAGCTTGCTAGCTCTGGCCCGTCAATGTGGAGTTAGAGACCAGCCCGTCAGGCTCCTTTTCCTCCTGTTGGGGACCCATAAAGATTTCCAAGGGCTGAACAATTATAACGTCAGTCACTCGTTTTCCTGCCTTTCAAGGCAAAGTCTCCCTAGCACCCGGGCACATACCTCTCATTCCTGCAGGTCCAGGGTCACCTTTGGGCCCCACGGCCCCAGGCATCCCAGGGCAGCATTGGAGAACAGCGACCTTCTCTGAACTGCTGAGACCCACTATCTTCACCTCTGGGGAGACAAATGATACGTGAGAGAGTCCGTAGGACTGACCCATTCTGCAGATCCCCGAGAGACGTAAATCCGGCACGTGAGAATCCCCACCCGTCTGTCTGTCTGTCTCTCTTTTTGTCTATAAATATAAAAGCAGCCCCTCAATTTCAGGGTGGTTTAAAACTCTCAGGAATTGGCAGGTACTAAATTAACCACCAGAAGCGGATATCGGAGAACCTCAGACAGGATTTTCAAGCGACACGCAATCCGGTGGGCTAGCGAGGGTCTGGGTGAAACTGGCCACACGGCCCTGTGACCTGGATAGCTCAGTGCCACAAGAGAAGATTCAAGGCTTGTAAAGGGAAGTCAGGGGAGTCTTGTCATTGGCTGCATTGGGAACAGGCTTGTGCCCTAGATCTGGGAAGAGGAAATCAAGAAATCTACCAAGAATGTAACCAAGCAGCCTCACCCACTGCATGGAACACAAAACCACAGGCATTGCTTTCACCTGGCTTATTAGTACTAGCCAGGGACTTCCCCTACAGCCATGTCCTGCTGCAAGAAAGGTGTGCAGCCAGTCTGGCAGGAAGGTGCCTTTGAGCAGCTCTTAAGAAATGACCCCAGAGCCAAGAGGGAGGGAGGGAAAAGGGGGCCTGGTGATTGAAAGGGGCCTGGGCTCCTGATTGCCCTCGCTGCACCAGCCCCGGTCCCTGTAGATTGCCGCCAGAGCCCAGGCGGTGTGCTCCTGATGGCATTGAGGGCTGGGGAGGGGGCATTGCGTGGTCCAGGCAGCACCAACAGCTGCCCCCCAACCCCTCCCCTTTCACCTGAGGCTCCTCCCCTTCCAGGAGCTGAGCTGCCCCCTGCACCTTGCCCAGGGGCCTGGCAGGGCTATCGGCTCCTCTGGTTCTAGTTTATACCTTCCCTCAGACTTATTCTGCTCCATGCCTTGGAACACATCTGTTCGAGTCTCCTTTACATCATGTCCGTCGTATTCCGGCCCTTTTCTCAGGTCTGCTCTACGGGTTGGACCTCCCTGGTCCAGCACCCTGGGGACCTGACTGGTCCAGGATGTGGGATATTCCTGGCCCCTTGCATCCCAGCTGAGGCACATGCTGCTCCCCCCCGCCCCTCCCTGCATCCCAGCTGTTCTGCGCATGCCCCCCTCCCCGCATCCTGCAAGGCTCCTGGCACCCCACCCCTGCAGCACACCAGGACTCTGGTCTCGGAACATCCTTGGTCTTCCGAGAGGTGCAGCTTGTACTATATCCTAGTCTAGTCTGTCCATCACATTCTAGTCCTTATATTAGGTCCATCTCTAGCATCTGTGCTCACCAGACTTGTTCTGACTGAGGAGGAATTTGGTGCATTCTAAATTTGGCATTGCAAAGTGGGACCTGTTGGATCCATGCTATGAAAAGGTAACAAGTTTGTCTGTGACTCACCTGGGCAGGTGTCCCGAGCTTCACAAACTGCTGCTGCTAGACAGAGGAAAGCGAGGAGGGGGTGCCGGGCAGCTCTCCCCATGGCTGCTGCTGGGCTCTGCGGTGGCAGCTCCACTTGTCTCCTCCTTTTATGTTTTCATCTTTCTCCTCCCCCCCCCCTGTTTGCATCTTCCCCCTCCCCCCCCAGCCTCTTATAACGCATGAAAACACAGTAAGTAAACTCCCCTCCCCCAGCCCATCGGAATTCCTCCCTTACACACCGATTGCCACATTCTAGCTGTAAAACTGTTTCCCCTTGATTGGTTGTGTGGACAGTTTCCCTGAAGCAAGAATCTGATAGGAAAGTTTCCAGTTACATTGCACCTCCTGTACGACTCCTAGTACATAATTTGGTGCCAGCCAGTCTGTCCTCCATTAATTTTACTTGTTTTCCTTTAAGGGTTGGTGTCAGCAAATCTTCATTTAACTCCTTTCTCCCACTGAGTTAAGATTATTTTCCAGCTAGAGTGTCATGTCAGGATGGACTATCAGCCTGGCCAGGCAGGATATGCAGTCATTCGTCTTGTCAGCCTGAGCATTGCAGAACCTCTGAGGGCAGAGTTGATACCTGCCCCAAGACAGTGGAGCTCATGGCTCATTCCATCCTGAGAAAGGACGTCACGGGGTTGATCACAATTATCTTCATATCCCACTTTTCATCTGCTACCTAGAGCTTTGGACAATGAAGAGCTGCCGGGCTGATATAGTCGTATTCCCGAAACTGGGCTCAGTGCTACCTGCTTGGTAGTTTTTAAATTGGTCCACGATGCTGCCTCTAGAGCAGAGTCTGTGGAATTGGCAGTGATCTAGTCTATTCCCTCCGTACTGGCTGAGCACCTTCCAGCAGTCGTTACTTGACACGACCGACATTTGTCACGTTTGCTTTGATCCCTTCCCCAGGGGAAACTAGTGCGCGCATTTTGTTTTGGCAGTGTGTGTGCGTGGGTGGGTGGGGGGTTCTTTATTAATGCACGTGTTACTCCATGTTTCTATTAGAACAGGCAGGTTGAAGAAATGCACTTTTTGTATTGGGAGTGGAAGGGAATGAGGTTCATGATGCTCTGTAGTTTGGGCTGGGGGTGGCTGAGCACCTTCCAGCAGTCGTTACTTGACACGACCGACATTTGTCAAGTTTGCTTTGATCCCTTCCCCAGGGATTTTGTTTTGGCAGTGTGTGTGCGTGGGTGGGTGGGGGGTTCTTTATTAATGCACGTGTTACTCCATGTTTCTATTAGAACAGGCAGGTTGAAGAAATGCACTTTTTGTATTGGGAGTGGAAGGGAATGAGGTTCATGATGCTCTGTAGTTTGGGCTGGGGGGGATACACAGTCTCGACCTGCCCCCCAGAGAGGGTTCTATCTTCCACACAGGAGGTTTCCTGCTGTCAGTACGAGAGGCCTGCAGTGTGTGTGTGAGCACTGCACTGTCTGGCCTTTTTCCCGGGGCCTGTCTGTTCAGCTCTGACCCAGTTGATTGCAACGCTGCGGGGAACGTTTGGTCTAATCTCCCTGTCACAGGGCGCGTGCCCTGCGCTGGCCCTTTAAGGGCCAAACCCCAGCCCTGAGGGAGGACTGCGAGCAAAGCCCCCGCGGAGGCAGATCTGGCTAATGGCCCCGCTGGGGGCTGGGTGAAGAGGGACCCCTGGAGGGCTGACGAGCGGTAGGGACCTGACTGCCTGGGAAGCAGGAGGCTTCCTGGAGGTAGAGCAGGGCTGGGGAAGGCAGGCAGGGCTGGGGAGACTCTGGCCAAGCAAGCGCCCAGGCTGCAGGGCCTGAAGCTACTGGGGCTGCAAGGGGCAGCCATGGTGGGCAGGGGCAGCAGGTCCACCCCCTTGGCCAGTGCTGAGTGGCCGTTACAGATGGCGGTTTGCCCCTGAGGCAGGGGCTAGATGGAGACTGGCCGTGGGTCACTGAGGCAAGGTGGGTCCAGGGGGACTGTGGGGAGAACAGGGCGCCCTGGGGAGGGGAGGACCCTGGAGGGCACGCAGGATAAACAGCCACCCCCAGAAGGGGGCTCAGACACTGGCGTGGGCGCTGCCAGGGGGCCGTGTCCTGCAGAGGATGCCGAGGTCCATGAGTGACGCTCGTCTGGACTAGAGTGGGCAGTGAGAACACGGGGAAACACCAGCGAGAGGGAGGCGTCTGGCGAGTCAACGAGCTAATTCCCAGAGCAACCAGCTGGAGGCGCATGGAGAGCGAGTCTGTGGTCGGGCCTGGGTGCGCGGTGTAGGGGTGCGCGTGGGGAGGAGGGTCGCGCTGGCTTTCTGCACAGAACAAATTTCCCCCTTCCCTTGTCTAGAATAGGAGAAGGGTTGTTCCCACCTCTCCGCCAGGTACCACAGTTAGATGCACCGAGCAGCAGAGCTGGAAGGGCAAGGGGAAGAGGAGATGGGACCATCTCATTCCAAACCCAGCCTGTCTCTAACTCAGAGCCACCCGCAGCAGAGGGAAGGTCACCGCCCTGAGAAGGGAGGGAGAGCTCCATCCTGTGCCTGTCGTGTGCATCAGTAGCTAAATATTTCTCTGCTAGGCTGGGACCCCGGGACGAGACACGCT